AGATTTCAGGATAAAGACTCTTGTCCCTACTTGATCCCAGCTGCCACCGGGCAGTGTTAAATCTCGCTTCCTTTTTCCTTGCCCTCCCTTCCTCTCAGGATCTCATCAGCCCTCCATTCAACCCTTCGCCCTGCAATCACTCACCCTGAGGGAGCGTGTCTATGTGTTTGTTTGAGAGGACATGCATCAATCCTCTCACACTTTCGCCTCCTTTTATTAGATCCCGCCACCAGCCTTCAGGGGTTACCTTGGCAACTTGGGAAGTTACACATCAGTCTGTCTTGCTTGAGACTGACAGAATGATCTTTTTTCCATGCACTCTGCCCTGCTATTAAATATGAAAAGCTCACTCTGCGGCGCTCCCACGGAGCACAGTGAGCGGCAGCTTGCTGACCTTTACACTGAAGTTAAACGCACTCTCCTGAGAAGCCTTAAAGATTAAGTGAGAACACCGACTCTCCAATATGAGCCATTATATGCTACATAGAAAGTTCTATATTACATCAAAGAGCAAAAAAACACACAAAACGACTTCTGTGTTGATGAATGATGAATGATACGATGTGAGAGTGTATAAATAAATAATCTATACATTTTGCTGATGCTAAATATAGCTAGACATTATCAGTCATAAACATTTGCTGAGGGAAATATCAGCTTTATACACAGATGATCCACCTAATGGAGCCCTCGCAGTAGCTTCATTTTATATTCCAAAATCTAAACATCTGGCACGCACTGAGTCAATAACGCTGAGACGTGCATCCTCACATCCTCACTTCTGCTTGCGTCGAGATATTTAACACCCTCCACCTGCCCGCCCGCCTGATGCAGTAAGAGCCCTGACAAAGCACTGACAGCAGTTTTAAAGCTTCTTTTTGGTACGTGTTGAGCAAACATCGTGCATCTCAGACTTTGTGATAGCTTGGCCCTCTCACTTGCAGTACGCCCCAGTGGCTAAATGGTTAGGCTGCATACCTCATGACCTTGGCGCCTATAGTTTCCAAGCACCTTTGGTGTAAATATAGATGGATTTGCTTTGGTTTATTTCTGTAACATTGTGATTCCCCAAATCTCTGTCATGAACCGATTTGCCAGCTTCTGTGTGAACGTAAAAGTATGTGACTTGCTTTGGCATTTTCATTTTATCCGATGGCCGCAGCAGTGATGCAGAGAGGCTGTCCAGGAAGAGTGAGGGCCATGCCAACTATAGTTTAGCATTATTTTTTAACGATAAAGCTCTATTTTCATTCCTGAGACTTTATGGAAGAAAGAATCAAGACATGGAAGATTTCTATTCTTATCCAACTGCAACTACGGTGCTTCATACAAGATAAAATTACAGGATGACTGCTTCAACATTTACACAGTCACATCTGTTTTTGGACAATGGCACATTTTTTTGCCTACATTCACCAAAACAGTTGATTTTAAATGAAACAATCTGTGTAACTGAGCTGCAAACTTTCCGCTTTAATT